CCAATGAGAAATGTAATTGTGTTGTATACCTACAATGTACCAATAAAAGAATTTAATTTTTAAAAAGTGTATGTATTGCCATATTATAACATTTTTAACCTTATTATAAGTGTATTTCAATATACTTATAATTCTGTTTTACTTTTTCTTATATTTTATTTTAAACATTAAAAAACACTATTCTGAGAAGGAGTCCGTAAGTTTCACCAGACTGCCAAAATAATTGATGACAAACAAAAGATGAAGAACTCCTGAACTAGTGGTTCTTCAGCCCCTAAATTCTTGGGTCAACAGATCCATCAAGTCAACAAATCGGGTTGGGAATGAGCTCAGACTGTGTGCGGGGAGGAAAAGCCAACTGGGGCTCCGTGAGCACACAGAGATGACTGTCACTGAGCCCATGGAAACAGTCTGCAAAGACATGGTACCCCAGCGACGAGCAACCCACCCCCAGGTGAGACTTATCCCTGCCAGACTCATTACAGGAAGCATGGTCATCATGCCGTGGTGGCTGCTGTGAGTTGAAAGATTATTCCTGTTGGTGCTCTGCTACCTGATTCACTCCCATGACCTTGATCCTGGGAACAAACCCATGAGGCAGATTTATTATTGTTCTTACTTTATAAATAAGAACATTGTGGACTTGAGAAGTAAGTCCAACATAGTACCCTCAAACACCATGCTGAACTGTTTTTGAAAAATACTGAGACCTTCATTGAAAACGTGGTATTGTGCATTGGTGGGAAGGGCAGCTTTTGGAGCCAGACTCCTGGAGCTGTTCTCCATCTCTGCCAGTAGCCAGGTCATTGCCTGGGTACCTAATCATCTCTGGGATGGAGATTAATAATAGCATCCCTCTTTTAGGATTAAATGAGATAAACACTTAGAATAGCATGGCACCTAACAGGAGCTCAGTGAATATTAGCCACTATGACCACCTTCGTGGACATGATCTGAAAAATTCCAGCAGAGTTCAGTTCTCTTAAAGAACTAGGGAAAATATCTGGGGTCACCATTATACTCACACCAGCCCAGGAAGTTCTGAGAATGGTGTGCTGAGTTCTGGTCAAGAGCATGGAGGAGCTGCTGCTTTTCTAATGAAGGAGAACTATGTTGAGAAAACAGAAGTCAAATATTGAATGGTTAGTTTTCATTGTAATGTAACTTTCTCTCCCGTCCTAGAACTCCATGAAGGTGATGTTCAAATGCCTCTGGAAGAACTGTGGCAAGGTGCTGAGCACTGCGGCAGGTATCCAGAAGCACATCCGGACCATCCACCTTGGGTAAGGCCGCCCTCCCTGCAGAGTGGAGCGGGCTCCAGCGGTCACGCTAGGCCGCCGGCCAGCACTGAGATCAAGCTCCGCATTGTGCCTTAGAAGCTCTGGATACCAGGCCAGGTCGTTCTTCCTTATCTCTAGGTGGCCACTGCCGGTCAGATGTCACAGGGCAAAGTACAAGACTTTTCTTCTTGAGTCACATTAGGGGACTCACTGCTCCGGGCCTCAGTTCCTTCTGAAAGGACTGGTAACAGCAGGTCTGCCAGGTCAGCTGTGAGATTGATGATAAACATGTAACAGACACTACTGAAGTATGAAACACTAGCATAGGGGCTCCTAATCTGGGGTCGTGATTCAAAGGATCCCTGAACCCCCTGAAATTGTCTGTAAAATGAAATGTGTATTTATCTTTCTAATAGAGAGTACTTGTGACTTTGGTCCTCAAAGGGATATCTTGCCTAAAAACGTTTAAGAATCACTGCACCAATCCACACTGCTGTGCTCTTAAAATGCCTCCTGGTGGCCAGGTATGGTGTACACACTTGTAATCCCAGCACTCTAGAAGGCTGAGGCAGCAGGATCTCAAATTTGAGCCCAGCCTGGGCAACTTAGCCAGTTAGCAAGACCTTGTCTCCAAAAATGGCCATTGGGGGTCTGAGGATGTAGCTCAGTGTGAAGGCCCAGGGTTCAATCCCCAGTACCCCCCCCCAAAAAAATGCCTCTTGGTCTGACTCAGTCTTCCTGTCAACTAAATAAGTGCTTTATCTGTAAAATCTATCCTTTGCCTCTTATATTAAAAGAGCCTTTCTAAGGAAAGTTAAAATGGAACTTTGGGAGCCATAGCAGTTGGGGCTCCCAGCAGGGAACAGTGTCAGACAGGAACTCATGCTTTTGCCCTGAGTCTTTCTTGTTCAGGCAACTGGAACTTAGAAGGGGCACTGAAAAGCTGTAACCAGTGTGTACTAGTCAAGCATGACACACAACCAAGTCTACATGCTTAAACACAGAAGACTTCTTTTGACAAGATGAATGGAAAAATGAACACAAGGGATACATTTAGGGAATACATCATTCATAAAAAGCAATATATGCAAAAATGCAAATGGAATCTAAGGTGATTTTTCTAATCTGTGAGTTGCAGAGACTATGGAGAGAAGCAGGGGTCTAGCTCCCTCCCTCTACAAGATGGTATTTGTGGACTTGCCAAAGCCTTGATAGCAGGCTAGAAACCCATTAAGACTGGGCTTCTCTTCCCCTGGCTACAGAGTCATGTTCATGTTCATGAAGTCCCACATTGTCCCAGCTACTGAGGAGGCCGAGGCAGGAGGACCATGAGTGGAAAGCACAGGCTGGGCAGCCTTGTGAGACCTGGTCTCAGAAAGTAAAATGCCACACTGGAACACTCCTGTGCAGACCCCGCTCTTCTCCCTCAAGCCTTCAGAAAGGAAGTCTCGTGGTGTCTCCCCTCAGGTCTCAATGTCAGGGTGATTTCCACAGCTCAGAGCAACTCACCGGTTTAGAATGAACTTCCAAAAGCTATACCCAGGAGCTACGGTATTTGTTTTAAGTCCATCTTCCCAGAAAACTGAATCCTCTTCGGCCCCTCTCAGAAGCACATGCTACATGTGCATTATAGACTGCAAGTGGTATCACCTGCTTTCCCCACTAGATCTTGAGGTGCAGTCACAGTGGGTGGCATTGAACGTGCAGGTACTTGACTCGCTTCCTGAGGGCACCTTCTACTCTGTGCACTTAGACTGGCTTGGTGAATTGTGGTTCACAGCCCTCTCAGCCACTGCCAAGAAAGGGCCTGTATGTGCAGGGCTCAGGGGCCACTTGGTGCTTCTGAAGCTGAGCCTGAGCCCTTATGGCCTGGGAGAGACCACTGCCCTTTCTTAGTCCATGAGCTCCATGAGAGACTGTAGGATGATGGGGCGTTTTCAGTGGGTGTCGGCTGTGTGGGGCTGCAGGGAGGGAAGCGTGTCAAAACCCAAAGAAAGCATGTCTTGAATGCGATGTTGTGCAGTGCACACACCATGCCAGTATAAAAAGGGCACTGAGGGCCGGGGATGTAGCTCACTGGTTTCGCCTCCTGCTGTGCAGGCGCAAGAATCAGTTTGACCCCTGGTACCAAAAGAAAAAAAGTGTACTGAGTTTCTCTTAAATCTCACTCTGTGCTAGTACACCAGTGGCTGAGCCTGCTTTATCCCCACCGGAAGGATTGAGTCCCCCACCACCACTGCTCCCCCACCCCCGGTCTGTGTACATGTATTAGTAGCACCTGACTGCAAGTAGCAGTGCAGATAGCTGGCCTTTGCCTGGAAAGGAAGTAGAAATAGGAATAGAACAGATGTTCATTCTTCGTCCTGATCTCTGGGGTCTTTGATGTACATGGCGCAGAGGACCCGGCCTGGCCAGACCGGCTGTGGCACAGTGGCCCCTCCCAGATGCCTCAGGGAATGGGACTGGACTGGGAGAGGCCACTGATCTGTGAGAACAGAGAGGTCTGTGGAGGGGCAGGGAGGGTCTATGTGGGCTCATTAGGGGGAAACAGGTTTGTTCTGAGCCAGTGATCTGTAGCTACTGCTGGATATGGCTGTGAAACGTAGAGTCCTATGGCCTCTCTCTTCCGGCCCCAAAGGCTGGGTGCCAGACACGTAACACGTCCCTAGGAGTGAACAAGTCTGATCATGTTTGCTAAGGTAATGGACAGTTACTTTGTTTTACTCAAAACTTGCTGTGGGAAAGTGCAGTTTTCCTCGACTCAAGGAGAACTTTCAGAGCGCCTTGGAAGACACTGCTGGTGACAGTGAGAACTGGAATCTCTAACATAGACCTTGCTTTCATGTAATAAGTACACTTGGTACATATTACCTGTCAGGTCCTCACATCCAGCGGGTATTCTCATTATCCCCATTTTGTAGTAAAGGAACGAGGCAGAGTAGCTGAGGGTGGGCTGCCCACATCACGCTCACGGGTAGGAGGGGTCAGTCGGCCTCTGAGCCTGTGACTCATGGTCTCAGTCCCGCAAGACATCATTCTCAGCTTGGTTCATTCAGCCAGTGTTTCCAGGTGCCCACTCTGCTAACGGACACGGGTGTGTGGAGAGACATGGAGATCAGCACCAGCCATGGCCCTGGGGCCTCATAGTGAGATGCCAGAGGGTGAAAGAAAAGACAGAAATATGGTGAGCAGTTAACTTAAGTGATGAAAACACTTTAATGGGAACACAGTAACTCTCTCCCTTACACCACATCAGCCTGCGCCTTCTCCTCACGTGGCCGCTGGTGCCCCCCGCAGCCCCATCAGTGCCCACCTGGATTCCCAGCGGCATCCCCTCCTCCGGAGCCGTTGGCTCGTGTGCTTGCCCTCTGGTCCTGTTTTCCTTCCAGACCACATTCACAGAAGTCCCTTTAGAAAAAACTTCAGATTCCTCAGAACCACCCACAATAAAAGCTGAAGCCACTGCACGGCCTCGAAGCCTTGCGTGACTCTGCCGTCGCTCCTTTCCCCACACTGCAGCCACTGCCTCTTGGCACTGCGCCGAGAGCACCAGGCTGGCCCACCGGAGGCCTCACATCCTTCCCACGGTTCCAGCGTGCTCTTGCCCTCACTTCAGTCCTGCAAGCATCCCCTGAAATGCTACCTCCTCAGAAAGGCTTCCTCAGGACACTGTAAGGCACAGTGCCTGTCCCAGTCACTTCCTGGTGTGGTGTAGATCTGGGACGTCACCCAGAACCCTCATCGCTCACAGCCAGGGTTTGGGAAGGTGACTGGATCGTAGACAGACTGTGCTGGGCAGAGGATTCACCCACTAATGAGCTCTGCAGCTGGGTGTGCACTGAGAAGCAGCGCCTGGTTGAAGGTGGATCGCTGTGGCCATGACCAGGAAGGGTGTGTCCCCTCCCGCTCTTCCTTCTCCCTCTGCTTCCTGGCTGCCATGACTCGAGCAGCTTTTCTCTGCTATGCCCATCTGGGTGACCGTGGACTGTAACCAAGAGTCAGAATAGACCTCTCTCCTTTAAATTGCAGGTGTCAGGAATTTTGTCCCAGCAATGAAAATGACGAAGACACTTTACTTAAAACCACATGTAGGCTATTCAATGCTTCTTTCTAGGATTTATCAGCACGATACATTAAATGTCTGTGAATGTATGGCTTCCTTGTCTGCCTCACCCAATAGACTGTAAGTTCCATCAGGGCAGACTCTGTGCTTTGTTCACTGTGCTATCAAGAATCCCTAGAGTTGCAGCCAGGGATTTAGCTCAGTGGTTCTGGCACCTGCTGCGCAAACCGCAGGGTCCCGAGTTCAATCCCTGGTACTACAAAAAAAAAAAAGAATCCCTATAGTAGTCTGGATATAATAGATTCTCAGCAAACTGTTGTCAGATGATTGAATGAATGAATCGATGGGTTGACTGTTGATTGCATTAAGAGATTGTCTTAGTCTGTTTTCTGTTACAACAAAATACCTGCAGCCAGATAATTTTTAAATAGGAGTTTATTTGGCTCCTGGCTCTGGAGGCTGGGAAGTCGGAAGCATGGCGCTCGCATCTGCTCACATCTGATGAGGGTCTTGTGGAAGACACAGCATATTGAGACAGAGAAAGCCCACTTAGTTCTCCCTTCCTCTTCCACAGAAAGCCACTGATGCCAACATGGGGCCCCACCTGCATGCCCTCATTGAACCCTAATGGTCTCCCAAAGGCCCCATTTCCAAATATTAACATAGGAATGGGGGCTAACTTTCTGGTGTGGTCTTGTTTTGTTGTTGTTGTTGTTGTTGTTTTGTAGTGCTAGAGATTAAACCCTGGCCTCACACTGGACTGTATCCCCAGCCCTTTCTTATTTTTTATTTTAAGACAGGGTTTCACAGGCCAGGGATTTAGCTCAGTGGTTTTGCCGCCTGCTGCGCAAGCACAAGGACCAGAGTTCGATCCCCGGTACCAAAAAAAAATAAGACAGGGTTTCACTCAGTTGCCTCAGCTGAATTTCAACTTGCAGTCCTCCTGCCTCAGCCTCCCAGAGTGCTGGTGTTACAGGCGTGCGCCACCACGCCCAGCTTGGGGGGTAACATGACCTCTTGGGGACACGTTCAAACCATAGCAGAAGTGAAGGAAGACTTCCCTAGAAGAGGATAGTTGAGTGCTGCAGGAGAAGCAAGAGGGGCCAGGCAGACAAGAGAAAGGAAAGGCATTCCAGACAGAAGGAGCAGCATGCACAAGATCACAGGAGAGCAGGTAGGCTTAGCACCTCTGTTTTGCCTTCTTCTGCACTAGGCGTGTTGGAGACTCCGACTACAGCGATGGGGAAGAGGACTTCTACTACACCGAGATCAAGCTCCACACGGACTCGGTGGCAGAAGGACTGAGTGGCCTGGCTCCTGTGTCACCCTCCCAGCCCCTGGCTTCGCCTCCAACCTTCCCCATACCTGATTCAAACAGAACAGAAACTCCTTGTGCCAAAAGCGATGCTAAGCTGATGACACCATTGAGCCGCTCGGCTCCCACCACGCTCTACCTCGTGCACACCGACCACGCTTACCAGGTGACCTGCAAGGGAAGGGGGGAGTGGTCGCTCCGACCTGGCTGGAAGCAGAGGCCGAATGGCCTGGGGGGTGAAAAATACGTTAGTGGGAAAACAGCGTCACACACTGTGCCACAGTCGCTAGGTTTCTTTCTTTCTCCTAGTAAAGCCAAGATCTCACACAGATGAGCCCTGGGGATTATTCTCAGATTCCCCAATGCTGGCTATAGATCTGAACCCTTAGAGATTGTTAGGATTAAAATCCTTAATATTATAAAGCTCTCAGGTCGGTCCTTGGCACATTATATGTGTTAAATTAAAAATAAAATAAATGGGGCCGGGGATTTAGTTCAGTGGTTCCGCCGCCTGCTTTGCAAGCGCAAGGTCCCAAGTTCGATCCCAGGTACCAAAAAAAAAAAGAATAAAATAAATGAAAAGATGAGCCTTGGAAAGCTTTGGCACAGTGAAAGAACCCCCTGCACTCCACATCTGGGGCTTCGTCCTACCCTGCCTTTTAAATGGGTGGCTGATCCTCTCAGACGAGAGCCATGGTTTTCAATGTCCCCCACTCAACAGTGTCAGCATCCCTGGAACTTGTGAGAAATGGAAATTCTTAGGGACCCCACCCCAGACCTGCCGGCTCAGGGCAAGGAGTGGAGCCAGCATTCTGTGCAGTACCAGCCCCTCCAGCAGATCCCGCTTCCCACCTGCGTCTGCAGAGGCGGGACATGGGTAACGCTCTTTTCCCCCTGGGATTCCCAACTACCTTATGCAGGTTTTTAAAAATCTCCTTTACATACCTGAATTGTCTTCTTCCATCCCTGTTTCATAAAACTTTTTACGTAACCAAGTAGTAGCCAACCAAATTGAAACATTAAATTGTTTTAATCGCTCTCTGACTAGTAAGTATCTACTTTGGGGTCTATCTTCTTTCTTCTCTAGCATTAAAAACTCTACTATGAACATCTCCCTGCCTAAAACTTTTTTTTTCTTCAAATCCTCAGAAGAGTAATTATTATGACATTTGAACATGAGTGAACAGTTTATGGGTCTATGTATTTCCAAAATACTTTCCACTGCCACCATTTATAAAATTACTGTCACTAGCCAATAAATTTGTAACAAGAAAACTAAGCCTATAAAGGAAGAATTCAGCCACCCACGTAGCTGACTTGAACTCAAGAACAATGGGATAGAACTAATGATTAAATTGCTTAATGCAGTAAATTTCATTCCTGACTTTTACTGTTATTCAAAAAATTCATTCATTCATCTGTTCTTGTTAGCATTGCTCCTATGTCAAAAATCATGGTTTTGGGCCGGGGATTTAGTTCAGTGGTTTTGCCGCCTGCTGCACAAGCGCAAGGACCAGAGTTTGATCCCCGGTACCAAAAAAAAAATTTAAAAATCATGGTCTTGCACAACATGAAAATCATTTTGCTCATCTACATAATAAAAAGTTGGAACACACCCTATGTGATCTAGAAGGGTCTTGCCAGAACTTATATCCATAGTATTGACTTTTTTCTGTATTTTATAAATATTCAGCATAGAAAGTTCTAAACACGTATCAAGAAAAGAAAACTCACTCATAGTCCCAATAACCAGAGAGTCCCTTGGTTAATTTTTTTTGTTTGTCCTTTAATACTATGTTTTATGTGTCTATGAATATGCATTTTAAAACGAAATCTACTGCAGCACTATATTTACTCTTCTTCCCCCCGCCTTACTCAATCTATCATGAACAACATTTTAATGGTTCCTTGGGTATATTGTGTGAGATGCTTTTACCTTTTTCCCTATTACTGGACTTAGTGTCATTTTCAGGTTTTAATATCTAGTACCTGGTTCTGCAATGAACAGCCTATCCTTTTCCTGAGAGTGAATGCTTACAAGTAGAATAGCTAATTCACAGAATGCCAAGAATTTTGATACATATTGCTAAATTACGCTCTCAAAATGTTGTACCAATTTCCATACCTATTGTTTTCCAGTATATTCTCCATGTATATATTTCCCAATTTGATAGTGAAGAATCTATAGGTTTCCTAAATAACCTTATGTATATAAAATAAAATTTTTTTCTGAGAAACTACCAGTCAAAAGCCATCTCCTATTAGATAGATTGCTTGGGTGTATTCCAAGTCTGTTTCTAGCTACTCCCTTTGACCCTGTTTAATCACCACCTATTAGATAATTAGTCTAAGTCAGTCATACAGCTGAGACCATTCCTGAGGCTATACTTTGGTAGTGACAGCTTATGGCTCTGAGGACAAATGTTCCTTCATAACAGCCTTCTCTGTTTTCTACTTCACAGGCCACACCCCCTGTGACCATTCCAGGGTCAGCCAAGTTCACCCCCAACGGCAGCAGCTTCAGCATTCCTTGGCAGTCTCCCCCAGTCACTTTCACAGGCATTCCGGTGAGTAGCAAGACAGGCCAGAAGGTAGGCAAGGCGAAATGTAAATTTACAGATGAAACTGTAGAAACATGCGAGACAGAATGCCAAAAGTACTGTATTTCTTAAGCAATATCTGTAAGCTCATCGGCAAGGTATCTCATGGTTCAGGCAGGCCCAGGTGGAAAGATGTTTGGCATTTTAGGAAACTAGAAGAAAGTTTCAATTGTTGATAAGTTGTTGAAAATACATTTTTGTGGTGGTGATATGTCTATATGTTTCCAAAAGATATTTAGAATAGTTGAACTCATACCTTATATGGAAAGGGTGCTATTTGTCATTATAAATAACTTTATACAGTTTATTATTTAGAAGTCGTTTTGTAGGTATGTCCTTTGAAGATTAAAAGATAAGTGAAATCATTTTTTTCTTTCAAAGCTTACACAATCCATGCTGATGGATAGTTGCTAAGTAAGCAATTGATAAAACATGCAACCAGATTTAAAGAGTCCATAAGAATTAACTTGACATATTAAATTATTTGTCTGATAAATCACCATGAATTAACTTGATTCCTAACCACTCATGTAAAAATGTACTGGGTCTTGTAGCTTATCACAGAATACCCAGAGATTCATACCCCCGGGAATGCCCATGGTGCTGTGTGACTTCTGATAAGGTTCAGAAAGTGGCTTCCCATAGCAGATTTCAACTCTGTTTTCTCTTTCCACCCCTCCTGACAAGAAACCACAAAAGCTTCTTACTGTCAACCACTGGTGACTCCCAGAGGTTCCTAGAAAAGTCTAAAGCCTCCTGTAGAGCTGCTAAAAATGAAAGTGGCTGAATGAATTATGCTGTGCTCTGCTGATGAATATTTATTAAATTCCATAGAGGAACAGCTAACAATAAAAGAATCCGGCTGGCAGCAATTTGGAAATGGTGGCTTCCAGAAAATACTCCTGGAATGTGATTTTTAAATAATACCATGGATCTGGAATACACACTCCTCATTTCATGACCAAGTTCAGGCCCTGCAGCTAGGTCATTAAATCACTTGGTCACTAAACGAGTAATTGTATATAGTGTGTACATTACAATATTCAGAACAAAGAAATGGTGAAAGGAAACTCCAACTTGATATTGCTTACATGCAGTACTGTAATGTAAAACAACACAAACTATAGTATTATATTGTACAGTACAATCAGCAAAAACTGCAGTACTGTATAAGGTGTACTGTACAAAAGATATTAAGGCTATAAACAAGATGTACAGAACTGTACAAAAACTGTACAAAAAAATGGGTCCTTAAGTCTAATCGGCAGGTTGTAAGTCTGAGTAGCACACCTCAGTCATAAGGCCAAACCACCATTAATCAGGTAAGTCGTTAAATGAAGAATGTCTGTATTAGGTATCATATTATCAAAAGAGTTCAATGAAAATGATTCATTTTTCTTCAGAATGCATGCTGTCCAATAACTTTAAAATAACATACAGCAGCCACCAACAAATCATCACATCAGCTGGGTTCCAGCAATTTTGATCGATCCCTCACATGTCAGAAAAGACAGGAATGAAATCAGTCAGAAAATCCAGGATATCTTATAATATAGCAGTGCTATAGAAAGTGCTCATCAATAATGCTTGCAAAACAGATGCAATCCAGATAGGATCTTTAGCAAATCAGTGAAGTATCTATTCTGTATTTCCTCATGTGCCCTTTCCTGGCATCTTAGCAGCTTCCATGAGTTCTTCAAGGCTATATTGACCACACACTTGAATGTTGCTGTGTTTTGAATGTGCAGTTTTGGCTCATTAATGAAGGTGCTTCTGCAGGTCACCGCAAGGGACCAAGGAAACTAAAATATTACTAATAAGATATCATGGGACCATGAGCCTGCTTGACCCTGTAAAAATCACTGGAAATGACAAATGTCCTTGACAGTGAAACAGCATTAATGGAGCCACTGTTCTGTCTGCTTCTGCAGTACTTTGGAGGATAGAAAGACATATAAAGTGTATAAGAAAAGAGTTTATTAACCAGGAGTATAAGACGAAAGTTAAACACAAAACAATTACAGAGCCAAGAATAACTGATAATTAATTGTTCAACTGATTCCCGTGGTTTGGAATATAAAACCCTTGAGAAACTATGTGCACCCATATGATATGAGACATTTCTACATATCAGAAAGTTTCAAAGGTAACATCGCTTCTAAAGAGTTTGCCTATATCTGAGAATTTTACTCCAAATGAATCAGTTTTGTTATCACCTGAGGAACTCTTGGAAGCAAATGGTCCTTAGACGTGAGCCCAATAAAAAGCATGCACTGATGAATTCTTCTGGCCCTTTGGCCCAGCTGTCCGGCCTGTGTCATATGTGATCCACAGGTCTCACCACACCGTGCCCCAGTCACTCCCTTCTGCAGCAAAACAGACAAACCATATATAGTTTAGACACTGAGGCAAAACAAGCAACCTCACATGTGCCTCGGTATCCAAGATGTGTCAGGTAGCTTATTTTTCTTAATATCAAACATTAGATAAATAATATATATTTTAAATACATATTTTAAGACAGGTGTCTTTTCATGAATGCTGCATTTATTTGCACAACATGCTTTGCAAATGTGCCTGAAATACAATAGGCTACAAGCACTCCTTGTTTAAAGACCAAATTCCATTCCTGTTACTAGATGGTTAAATTAATTGGTCACTAAATGAGGAATTGTACATAGTGTGTACATTACAATATTCAGAACAAAGAAATGGTCAAAGGAAACTCCAACTTGATGGCTTTGCTTTTATTTGCATAACTCTTACATGCAGTACTGCAGTGTGTAACAATGCGAAGCTACAGTACGGTACAGTACAATCAGCAAAAATTACTGTATAAACAAGGTGTATAAATAAGATATACAGAACTGTATGTGTGCATGCGCACACACACACGCACAAAGACGGGTTGTTAAGTCTGAGCAGCAAGTCCTAAGTCCGAATGACCAGTCATTAACTGGGCAGGTCATTAAACGAGGAATATGTGTAATTATGAAAGTTACCTGTTTCACTGAACAGTGGTAGCTGTCAGCCGCTCTGAGTGACCTTGTCAACAGACATTAGGAGAGACCAGCTTAGATGTGCAGGTATTAGTTTTGCTTCAGGCAAGAACACTGACCAGTGTGGGTGTCTGAGATACCCATCTGTCCTTTGGGTCTCTTTCCTTGGTAGGCATGAAGACATCCAGAGTGGCTGTCCGTATCATATTTGACATAGCCCTCTTATGACAGCTACAGTTACAAAGTTATATTGGCCTGCTTTCCGAATCCTTTAATTCCTGCCTTTGACTGGGAAGAGCATACACCATGTTGCTCATCTGATGTAAAGACAAGTGGAGGGTATAGATCGGAAGCCTAGTTCACACCTCTTTTCAGATGACCTCTACCTTTTCAGATAACTAAACTGATACTTTTACCCTTTGTTTTCTTAGACTGTCTCCTTCTGAGGTCTAGAGAAATCACTGTGTGGTTTTCTTACTAACTGCCTATACTCCACAGTTCATAAATCTCTTACACAGTAAGATGCCAGTCAGGATACCTGATACTGCTTGTTTTCCAACAATGAAATTTTAAAGTTCTCTAGCCTAATCTCAATATCCTAGAATTTTCTCTGAGTCCCTCATTTCCTTGTGCTGGTTACTGGGGATGTTCTGGCTGAGAGCTTTGATAAAAAGTATGTACAGAGTCTGGGTTAACTAGGTATTCTGCTAAACTCCTATTTCAGCTTCTGATTTATTCCTTCACCAGAGAATTCCCATTCTGTGTGTAATTTGTTTTGATCAAGACTAAGTGTAGACCTTTTTAGCAGTCAGGTTTGCCATTCCTATTTTAAGATGGAGGTAGAGGTGAGTATTTTCAAAGACTTTTACTCTAGAAAACCAAGAATGCTACACTAAAAATGTTCTTTCTATTGTGAAGCACACATCAGTGCTTTAAAAAAAAAAAAAAAAAAAAGTGTGGGCTGGGGACTTAGCTCAGTGGTTCCGCAGCCTTCTGCGCAAGCGCAAGGACCTGAGTTCGATCCCCAGTACCAAAAAAAAAAAAGTAGATGTTGCTGTCCTCCCCTTTCACTGATGGGCTGGCTTTCCGAATGGTCTACACCATGAAGACCCAGGACTGTCACATGTCCTTGGACTAGGAGCCAGAAGCTGTCCCTGAACTCACCAGGAATGCCTGTCCCAGCCCCTAGGAGGCAGGGAGCCAGGTGGAGTCTAAGAACTTGGGAATTCCTTCCTCCTCAACTGGTGTAAGAGTTTTAAATTATAATCAGTTAGTATTAATGATGGTTTCAGTGAAGTCCAAACAATAAGATTGAACAGCTTCTATTTTATAAAATACTTTTTTAAAAAAACTTTCTCTTTGACTCCAAATACCCCAAGGTTGCCAGCCTCATTTAGGGTTTCCTTTCCTCCCTCACTGAGACCTGGTATTGAAGATGAAGTCTTTTGGACACCTGCTAGAGAATGGGGGAAATTCACCTCAGAGCAGTCCCGGGGTTTGGAGCATTTTACTTATTCATTTGCCTGGGCTCCATTTCCTGATCATGGGGCTTTAATGAGTTTCCTGAATAAGACCCCTTCCCCGAGGTGTGTAGCAAGAAGGCTGATCTGCATATTTACAAACACTGCTCTAAGTTGTCTTCTCTAGCCCAAGGCTGTGAGAAGGGGAAAAGAAAGGAAGCCCTCATTAATTACAGCTTTCTTTAACCTGCTTTTCCCTAATGGTCTGCCTTTAGTTCTAATTAACTCCATGCTTTTCTCTGCCTTTCTCTCTTTTTAAGACAAAAATCAGGAGTTCTTGGCCCTTTCATTAGTCAGCTCAAGCTACCAAAACAAAATACTATAAACTGAATGGCTTAAACAACAGGAATTCATTTCTTCACAGTTGTAGAGACTAGAAGTCCAGGATCAAGGTGGCAGCCAGTTTAGCTCCCCCTGAAGGCTCTCCTGGTTTGTAGACGGGGCCTTT